GGTTTAACCTTCTGGTGACTCAATTTTTGCGTTTGTGAGATTAGGACAATAGAAAGTATTTTGAGACTCTCCGCTTAAAATTAATTATGGCTCGGAGGGGTACCTTTCCCATTTCTAGTCGCATTTGTGCACTGAGTTCTGGCAAAGCAATTACTGGATTGCTGCTGGAAAGCAGCCAGGAGAACTGCACCTAGGAAGTTAAAACTGGTTCCGAGCCTGATGGTGCTCTTTCCTTTGGGCTATTTTTTTTTTTTTTTTTTTAGGAGCTTATAAAGCATCCAGCACTGACCAAAAGGCAAGGTGAAAAAAAAAAAAAGAAGTGATCGTCCCCCTGTACTGGGCACTGGTGAGACCCCACCTCGAGTGCTGTGTCCAGTTTTGGGCCCCCCACCACAAGAGGGACATTGAGGGGCTGGAGCGGGTCCAGAGAAGGGCAACGAAGCTGGTGAGGGGTCTGGAGCACAAGTCTTACGAGGAGAGGCTGAGGGAGCTGGGGTTGTTCAGTCTGGGGAAGAGGAGACTGAGGGGAGACCTTATCGCTCTGTACAAGTACCTGAAAGGAGGGTGTAGAGAGACGGGGGTCGGTCTCTTCTCCCAAGTTACAGACGACAGGACAAGGGGTAACGGCTTCAAGTTGCGCCAGGGGAAGTTCAGGTTGGATATTAGGAAACATTTCTTTACTGAAAGGGTTATCCAGCATTGGAATGGGCTGCCCAGGGAGGTGGTGGAGTCACCATCCCTGGAGGTATTTAAGAAACGTGTAGACTTTGTTTGTTTGTTTGTTTTGTTTTGTTTTGTTTTGTTTTTTGTGGTTGGACTCGATGATCTCTGAGGTCCCTTTCAACCACCACAATTCTGTGATTCTGTGATTCTGTGAAAAGAAAAAAGTCTAAGAAGAAATGAAATGTCACAACCTGGTTTCTGGTTAGCAGGAGGAGGAAAAGAGAATGGTGGAACAGCGGGGATAAGCAGGTCAGACAGGCTGTGCATAGTCAGTGCCCAGAACCGCCTGGGAGAGAAATAAAGCACCTTGTTTTCTTCAGTTCCACACTGTCCACGTGTAGGGTCAGCCTTAGGACGACTTAGATTTAGTATGGTACCAGGCGTTAAGAGAAAACACATTCTCTTTATTCCTGAGCCCTGACGTCGTGTAATATCAGGTCTTTCTAAGAACAAGTCTCCGGCTGATCTGAACACTTCGTAGCCTGTCGGGAACCCAGCAGAGTTCTTATGAATGAATTTCAGTGTTTCGGAGGGGACAGGTGTCAGGAGGGTGGAAAGAAAAAGAAAAAGGAATGTTTCAAAAGGGGAAAATTATGGTGTCAGGAGGGTGGAAAGAAAAAGAAAAAATGTTTCAAAAGGGGAAAATTATATTATTCTTGGAAACTTGAGAAAGAGCCCCACTCTTCAGAAGATATTTTCTGGGGTTTGATTTGAACAGAGCAAATACTTGCAGGAAACAAAAGAAGGAAAGGAAACAGGGTGAGTAGCTAGCCATAAATTTTATTGAACTGTTTCAAAACAGCAATTAAGAATTCCGAATGCACCATGAGGACAAGCAAAAAGTATGTGTCTTTATACCATGACCGGGAAAATGAAGGTGTTGCTGCCTCAGTGTTCTTGGCTCTTTCATCTATTTGATAAATATTTAGCAAGCAGAAGTTTGGTTCCCTTAATTCCCAAGCAATCTAAGGACGATGACTGCTCCAACTTCCCCGCTTTTATGTTTAAAATGTACTCAGAGCCAACTTCTGGAAATGTAGTCAGACTTGGGTAAGTTAGCAAGGCTTCTCAGAGTTAACAACTGAGAGTTTCTGGTAGGAGTATTATGTTCAGCATTAGCAAGATTGAATCTCTGTTTAGACCAGTTCTTGCTGAATTTAACATACAGAGGCTGGCGCGTTAAACCTTTGACATTTTATTTCAACAAAAATGTCACTTTGCCCTTAATCCATAAAGAAGTCTTAGTTTATCATCTACCAAACTACTGGAGCAGAAGCAGAGGGCACCCTGTATCACATGCTTGATCAGACCGAGTGATATCACGCTGCTCGGGTAATACCAACCTACAGGACTCGCTCAACAATGTATAAAGGTGAGCCTCTTTAAAGACATGGCTTTTCAAAATTAAAAAAAAAAATAATAAAAAAAAAGGTTTAACTTTCAAAATGTCCTTACGTTTAAAGAAGAAAAAATGGAACGGGCTAATGGAAATCAGGTGAGATGTAGAAAGATTTTAAGAAAGTGGTGTATATAAAAGACAGACGCAAAAAGAGGGTAATAAAACTTTAAACAGTTTCTTCTAGCGAGCAGATTTAAACAAAGGCAAGCCAAACCATATTGCCACTTGAAATGTACTCAAGCTATAACATTTAAATCTGGAAATTGTATGATATTTGAAATTGGATTCAGACTCCCATAGTCTTACCATTTCAATCCTTGATAGAAAAAGGCTATTAATGTAGAATAACATGTTTACACTAATAACACCAACCCATAAACATTCAATTTTCACTTAAAATACAACAGAAGAAAATTTTCTTTATTGAACTCTCCCAAAGGTAGATTCCTGGCTCTAAAGATTTTAAACACTTGATCTGAACCAAAGTTTAGATGGAAGAGAATACTGAGATTAATGATTATGATGAATGAGAGAAGAAAGATTTAGGAAGGAAATTACTTGAAAAATTGTTGACAGACTATTCCAAATGCTCAATCGTGTCTGAGGGGAAAGGCATACAGGTGAGTGAACAAAGAAGAAATATTGGGATAAAGTAAGGTGTTCAACAGAAATAAAAGGGATAGAAGTGATGATGCACTGAAATATTGCAGACCCCTTTGGTGACATGACAACAATTCTTGGTGAAAGGCAAAGACACATTCACAAGTAGATGGTGGTGGATGACACAGTGGAAAGGCTATTAATACACTGCACTTTTGGAGAGGAACATATATGATATTAATGAGAACCATATCTGTAGAACTACCTGTTTCCCTCCTGACATTGTTCATTTTGAGTGTAAATTATGCCCCTTTCCCCTGACCTGGCTCTATTTAGAGTAACAGCTCTTCAGGGAAGAGACCAGCCATTATTCTGTTTGTGTGGTTTCTGTGTCTTAGGTTAACCTAATAAACTTGCTTTATAACAGAGAAACTTCTTGAGTCTGCAATGTTTCCTAAGGCGGGAGATCAGAGAATAGAACAGGAGGACAGTACTTGTAGGAATATTACAGAATCACAGAATCCCATGGGGTTGAAAGGGACCTCTGGAGATCATCCAGTCCAAACCCCCTGCCAGAGCAGGTCCACCCAGAGCAGGTTGCACAGGAACTTGGCCCAGGCAGGGTTTGAATGTCTCCAGAGAAGGAGACTCCACCACCTCCCTGGGCAGCCTCTTCCAGGGCTCTGCCACCCTCACAGGAAAGAAGTTCCTCCTCACGTTTAGGTGGAACTTCCTATACTCAAGTTTGTGCCCATTTCCTCTTGTCCTGTCCCTGGGCACCACTGAAAAGTGACCGGCCCCATCCTCCTGACACCCACCCTTAAAGTATTTATAAGCATTGATCAGATCCCCCCTCAGCCTTCTCTTTTCCAGACTAAAAAGACCCGAGTCCCTCAGCCTCTCCTCGTAAGGGAGATACTCCAGGCCCCTCATCATCTTTGTAGCCCTCTGCTGTACCCTCCTCCAGCAGTTGCCTTCCTGAATATTAAGGATAGCATCAAAATATTTCTAAAAAAGGATCACTTGTTCCTTTTTAGTTTTTGTGATTGGTAAAATCATGGAATCACAGAATTGTCAGAGTTGGAAGGGACCTCTAGAGATCATCCAGTCCAACTCCCCTGCCAAAGCAGGGCTGCCCAGAGCACATCACTCAGGAGCATCCAGGCGGGTCTTGAAGATCTCCAGAGAAGGGGACTCCACACCCTCCCTGGGCAGCCTCTGCCAGGGCTCTGCCACCCTCACCCCAAACAAGTTCTTCCTCACATTGGAGTGGAACTTCCCATGGTCCAGCTTGTGCCCATTGCCCCTCGTCCTGTCACTGGGAACCACTGGAAAGAGTCTGGCTCCATCCTCCTTCAACCCACCCTTTAGATTCTTGGCAGCACTCATAAGGTCTCCCCTCAGCCTTCTCTTCTCCAGGCTAAAGAGCCCCAGCTCTTTGAGCCTTTCCTCATCAGGGAGATGCTCCAATCCCTCCATCATCTTTGTTGCCCTAAAAAACGCACTGGTATAGACTGGGGTCTTTTTCTTTTTTTTTTTCTTTAGCTGAAAATAGCTCAACTTCAAGGCAAGGTTTTCAGCGTAAAATAGGGAAAAAAAAAGAAAAGGAAGAGAACTGCTCATGAAAAGGGTAACCTTTATGAAGTATTTAAAGGCGGGTGCAGCACAGCACTCAGCCGGCGCCCTCAGGGCCCACAGGCCGGCTGAGGGCGGGGGCGGGGGGGGCGGTTGTGCTAACACAGGTTCCACAGCCTGAGGGGCAAACAAAACCCGGGGGTGTCGCGAAGGCTGGCGCTGAAATTAAAGAAAAAAAAAAAAAAAAAAATTAACCGTAGGGGATAAACTCAAAAGCCCGATTAACATCAGTCCTTTGCCCGGCCATCGAGCGGGCGGCGCCGCCGCGGCCACATTCCTTCACGCCCCGGGGGGAAGCGGGCGGTAGCGGGAGGGCGGGCCGGCTTCCCGGGCTCCCTTCCACGGCCGCCGGGAGGTTTTATTAACCCAGCGCCTCAGGGATGGCGGCTGCGGGGCGCTGAGGTGGAAGGAAGGAGGGAGGGAAGTCGGGCAGGTGAGGGGCCCGGTGGTGAGGCGGTCAGCCGGCGCCCTCAGGGCCCACAGGCCGGCTGAGGGCGGGGGCGGGGGGGGCGGTTGTGCTAACACAGGTTCCACAGCCTGAGGGGCAAACAAAACCCGGGGGTGTCGCGAAGGCTGGCGCTGAAATTAAAGACAAAAAACGCTCCGCGCGCAGCAGCTGTGGGAGGAGGAGGAGGAGGAGGAGGAGGAGGAGGAGGGCGGGGGAGGTGGAGCCGCTTTATCGAGAGCCCAAGTGGAAATTTCCCCCTTCAGTTGCCGGCTCCAGCCGCGGAGGAGAGGCCAGCCTAGCCCAGAGCCGCCCGCTTCATCTCCGACCCGCCATGTCCAACTACATCCACGTCCCGCCCGGCTCCCCCGAGGTGCCCAAGCTGGACATCACCGTCAGCGAGCAGGAGGGGCCCGGCTGCCGCCAAGGCGCCCTGCAGCTCCTGCGCCGCCTGCGGCCCCACTGGAGACCCGAGGAGGTGACGCTGCAGGTACGAGGGAGGCCCATGGGGCATCGCGGGGTTTCGGGCCCGGGTCGCTGGCGGGTTGTGGGGGGAAGCGGCAGCCCCCCCTCCCCATCCCCTCCCCGGGCTCGGAGAGGGAGAGAGGAAGGAAGGGAGGGAGGGAGAGGAGGGGGAGGGCGGTCGGCCATTGTGCGGGGGATCTGCCGCCTCGCTTCCTTCCCCTCCCCCCTTTCCTCCCCTCCCGGCTCTCCCAGCGCAGCCCCCTGCGTCGAGCCCCATTTGCCAGGCAGGCTGGCGGCGGGGCGGGTCGGCGCGGCAGCATCCCCCCCCTCCCGCCCTCCTTCCCTAAGGAAGCGCTGGCTTCCCTCTTCCTCCTTCACTACCCTCCCCGATTAAACTTGCCTCCCCCTTCCCCAAACCCCCCCCCCATTCCGTTACCGGCGAGCTCTTCCACCCGCGCTCGGGCGGGCGCGACGCCTGCTGCCGGCCCGGGGGGCTGAGGGGTAGGTGAGGGAGGGGAAAGGGCCCTGTGAGGTTCCCCCCTCGCCGGGCAGGGCGTGTTAGTAAAGCGATGGGTGGTGGTTTTTTTTTTTTTTTTGCCCCCTTCCCCGGGCAGAGGAGGGGGCGGCGGGCTGCCCTCCCGCTGCCCGGGCGCGGCCGCTGAGGTAACGGTCGCCGCCGGCCCCGGAGCCCTTGGTGGGGCTCTCCCCACCCCCGTAACAAATAAATAACCAAATAAATATAAATGGATGGCTTGGGTTCGTCACGGGGTTTGGGTTTTTAGGCTGGGGGTGTGAGTACCAGCCCCGTTTTAACGTCCTTGGCCGGCCCGCAGGAGCCTCGGCGGCGCTGGGTGGCTGGTATCCTCTAGGTGAGCGCTGGATCCTGTTGGTGACGAGTCATCTGCTCCAGGATTGGCTGCTCCTCTGCTTCTAGAACATGCTTAACCTGGTCCCCTGCGAGTCTCTCCTCGGTTTACCTGCCGAAAACTAGCCCTTCGGTTGCAGCCGAGGTGCAGTTGGGCGTTTGGTTACTGTGCCCTCCAACTGTGTTGGGCAGCAGTTGTTAATGTGTGCGAGTGTCTTGATTTTAGGGAAGTTCCCCTGAAGAGAGCTGGTGGAACTAATTTGTGTAGGAGAACCGAGCACGTTGAGGTAATAGCACGGAAATCGGCTGGTGTTTTCTGAAGTTTCTTTGTAGGAAAAACAGCTTGACGTATGCTGGTCCAATTAGTATGAAAATAAAGCTAACAAGGTTTTCCTGAGTCATTCCTTTGAGGGCTGTAGCCCTAAGTTAAGCACAGTCCCAACATCTTGAGGTGTCATGAAGATAGCTTTTATAATATGTGGTATTAAGCAAGGCTGTTAGAGTTCATAGAACATCTTGAGTTGGGAGGGACCTATAATAATCAAGTCCAACTCCTTGCAGACTCCCTTGCAAGACTCCTTAAAATTAAATGTTTTGTTCTTCTTTCATGAGTCCTGAGTCATTCCTTTGAGGGCTGTAGCCCGAAGTTAAGCACAGTCCCAACATCTTGATGTGTCGTGAAGATAGCTTTCTCCTGAGTCATTCCTTTGAGGGCTGTAGCCCTAAGTTAAGCACAGTCCCAACATCTTGAGGTGTCATGAAGATAGCTTTTATAATATGTGGTATTAAGCAAGGCTGTTAGAGTTCATAGAACATCTTGAGTTGGGAGGGACCTATAATAATCAAGTCCAACTCCTTGCAGACTCCCTTGCAAGACTCCTTAAAATTAAATGTTTTGTTCTTCTTTCATGAGGGTATTCCTCAACAGAATGTTTTTTTTTTCTTTCATACAGGAATACTAATAAATGAAACCAAAACACTTCCTTATTAAGGAGGGATGCCTCTAACCATTTGGTAAAGTTCTAGTAGGTTTAAGGAAAAAAAAAAGCTGTCTGCTTCTTCTGTGTCTCTCTCTGGAAGATGCAGTTAACAGAATAAAAACCACCCATACCATCGGTGTGGAACAGGGACTGATTTGACTGATCATGCAATAGTAAAGTAATAGACTACTGTCTGTGGTTAGAGGTTTCTGTACAGGAATACTAATAAATGAAACCAAAACATTTCCTTATTAACCTCTAACCGTTTGGTAAAGTTCTAGTAGGTTTAAGGAAAAAAAAAAGCTGTCTGCTTCTTCTGTGTCTCTCTCTGGAAGATGCAGTTAACAGAATAAAAACCACCCATACCATCGGTGTGGAACAGGGACTGATTTGACTGATCATGCAATAGTAAAGTAATAGACTACTGTCTGTGGTTAGAGGTTTCTGTCTAAAAATTGTCTGGGTTTTTTTTTTTTCAACTGAGTTACTGCAAGAACCAAAACTTCTCAACTCACTTGTTTCCTTTTCCTCCTTTTGAACAGCAGCAGAACATCCTATTCATGGAGCTCTTCAGTGCCCTTTTGTTTTTAATGCTTTAGTCTGTGTTTGAACTGCCGTGTGTTCATAACAAGCAAGAATGCATGTGGTTTGAAACTAACTGCATTGCCACCATTGCTGCTGCAGTCTGTTACACATGCAAGTTGCACGTGCATCACATACAGTAAGATGCTGAAATGAAAGATGACTTTGTGAAGAGGATGGAGTGAACAGAAGGGTCTGCCTTGGAGTCCTCTCGTTAGAGGGGCATCTATTTAGGAGGGAGATGAAAATGAGAATCATGTATTGCGTGGAAAATATGCTTGACTAATCTGAAACAGCAGCATCGTAGCCAAGTAGACAAAGGACGTTGATGGGTGGAACGAGCTGCTCCTTCCTCTGTTGAACTCTGCTTTTAGCTACCTTTGCTCTTAGTGCTTCTTGAGTCAGAACAATTAGTAAGAAGTTGAAGAGTCCAGAGTTTTACTTTAAAAATTAGCTAACCTCTCTTGTAAAAATTTACTGTTGTGTATCAAATTTAGTCAGCTAAATAATTTTGAAACGGCGGTTAAAAATTTCAATGCTTAATCCTCTTCTGAAGATCTGCAAGTATGTAAAATCATGAATATATTCTAGCATTTTTATTTTTTTTGCCTCATAGCATGAAGCATAATTGTAGGACAGAATGAAAATAGTTTAAATCTTCAGCACTGAAATCATTGTATTGTGTTACTTATCAGAAGTTTAGAGAATGCATAAGCATTGCCAATTATCTGCTGAATCACAAGCAGTTCTACTGTAATGTATCCTCTATCTCAAGTTATATGTGAATATTATCACTGCAGACCGGGACGGATACTCTAGTTCTTTTGCATTGGTAAGGAGAAAGAAAAGTTTTCTCTCTACACACTGATCTTCATGTAGATACTTTGTGCAGTTGTTATCTGAGGATGTGCTAGGGGCTGTGTAGAACTGGGTGTTTTCTCTTAAATTCTCGTGGCTTACTTCCTCTGCTTTACAGTAATACAAAGCAAAGTCATTAAAACAAAGCTGTGCTTTTTGCTGTAGTCGCTTTTGATTCTGTAACAGCTGATTTTAGTATTAAAACTGTAGAGTAGTTCAAGTTTGAAGGGATCTCTGGAGGCCTCTCCCAGCCTCCTGCTGAAAAGCTCACTGCTTGCTAAATTCAGAAATTGATTGCAGTGGACATAACATTTTTTTTAATTTCATAAACAAAAGTGCTCTTCAAAACTAAGCCCTTCTTTGAATTAGTGAACAGCTTAAATCGTGACAGTGGACGATCTGATTTTTATATTTTAAGCAGCACTTTATACATGAAAGACAAGAACTTCATTCTTTTAACTATTTACCTTCTTAAAGAAGTTGTGTCACACTAGTGTAAAAATGCAATCACGGTTTGGAGTCTGTTGCCCACATTAAGAAATTTTTTTCATTTTTCCTCTTTTATGGAGATTCATTTGTTAGTATTTGAAGGAGAAATTGGTTACAGTATGGGAAGGTCAGTTACCACTTCAGTAAGTGCAGATTCAGTATTCCTTTATCCCATAACCTACATCTTGTAGGTGTGGTGATAATGAAAGATTTGGTAGATTAATTAATGTAATGAAGTGTAATGTTTCGTACAGGAAAAACAATTCTATTTCTTTCCTTTCTAAAGTAATCTTTAACATTGAGAATAAAAGCTACTTGTTTTTACTGGTGGAGAGACTTACTGGTGATTGTGCTAATTTACACCTTCACTATTTGGATAGACCAGCACAATATCTTATGTGCAAAAAAAAAAAAGCTGCTACGAAGTTATTGAGGGATCTAGAATTATAAAAATGATGTGATAGCAAACAGAGCTCTTGTCCTGGCCCAAACCTGGGGGTGGCATGGGAAGCGATCAGTTTTGCAAAGGGGATCTGATTCGTCAATTAGACTTCCCCCACCTCAGCCCCAGAATCCTGGAAGCTTCTATCTGGAACTTAGTACCAGATTGTCTCTGAATAAATGTGGTTTTTTGTTTTATTCTCTGCAATAATTAGACCTTGCTTATCTTCTGGTACTGTGTCTTTGTTACCAATGTGTACATGTTTTTTTGCATTTAGCAACACTTTGCATGACTTTACTACTGCAACATTTTATACTTCTTTACAAGAATTTGCTTGTGTAGCTAAGGAATGAACAGACAATACAGCCATGCTTAGGAATACTTTTACTTTCACAATTGAAATAACTCAAACCCCCTTTAATTTTTTTTTCTTTTTGTTATATAGGAGGTTAGCTTTTCTCTGTGTCTCTGCTTTTTTCTTCCTGACTTGTGCTCAATAGCTTTTCTCCAGGCGGTATTTTCTGGCTGCTACTCTGAATTTCTTTGCTTGTGTCGATCTTGGTTTTTTTCTTTATAACAAACCATGATTAGATTCAGATTTCTGAACTACTTAAAATATTTCACAATTTATTTAAACAGACTGAATGTGGGTTTTAAAGCAGTGAAATAATTGAGTGGAAACAGAAAACATTAGTCTGTGGGAAACAAAGCAAACTCACTAATTTTGTATCATTACATTTTTTTCAAGAGTATTTTTATTGCTGAGCTGTTTTTAGGACATTGCTCTTCAGTAGTTGTGACAGTAGCTA